CTCTCTCTCTCTCTCTCTCTCTCTCTCTCTCTCTCTCTCTCTCTCTCTCTCTCTCTCTCTCTCTCTCTCTCTCTCTCTCTCTCTCTCTCTCTCTCTCTCTCTCTCTCTCTCTCTCTCTCTCTCTCTCTCTCTCTCTCTCTCTCTCTCTCTCTCTCTCTCTCTCTCTCTCTCTCTCTCTCTCTCTCTCTCTCTCTCTCTCTCTCTCTCTCTCTCTCTCTCTCTCTCTCTCTCTCTCTCTCTCTCTCTCTCTCTCTCTCTCTCTCTCTCTCTCTCTCTCTCTCTCTCTCTCTCTCTCTCTCTCTCTCTCTCTCTCTCTCTCTCTCTCTCTCTCTCTCTCTCTCTCTCTCTCTCTCTCTCTCTCTCTCTCTCTCTCTCTCTCTCTCTCTCTCTCTCTCTCTCTCTCTCTCTCTCTCTCTCTCTCTCTCTCTCTCTCTCTCTCTCTCTCTCTCTCTCTCTCTCTCTCTCTCTCTCTCTCTCTCTCTCTCTCTCTCTCTCTCTCTCTCTCTCTCTCTCTCTCTCTCTCTCTCTCTCTCTCTCTCTCTCTCTCTCTCTCTCTCTCTCTCTCTCTCTCTCTCTCTCTCTCTCTCTCTCTCTCTCTCTCTCTCTCTCTCTCTCTCTCTCTCTCTCTCTCTCTCTCTCTCTCTCTCTCTCTCTCTCTCTCTCTCTCTCTCTCTCTCTCTCTCTCTCTCTCTCTCTCTCTCTCTCTCTCTCTCTCTCTCTCTCTCTCTCTCTCTCTCTCTCTCTCTCTCTCTCTCTCTCTCTCTCTCTCTCTCTCTCTCTCTCTCTCTCTCTCTCTCTCTCTCTCTCTCTCTCTCTCTCTCTCTCTCTCTCTCTCTCTCTCTCTCTCTCTCTCTCTCTCTCTCTCTCTCTCTCTCTCTCTCTCTCTCTCTCTCTCTCTCTCTCTCTCTCTCTCTCTCTCTCTCTCTCTCTCTCTCTCTCTCTCTCTCTCTCTCTCTCTCTCTCTCTCTCTCTCTCTCTCTCTCTCTCTCTCTCTCTCTCTCTCTCTCTCTCTCTCTCTCTCTCTCTCTCTCTCTCTCTCTCTCTCTCTCTCTCTCTCTCTCTCTCTCTCTCTCTCTCTCTCTCTCTCTCTCTCTCTCTCTCTCTCTCTCTCTCTCTCTCTCTCTCTCTCTCTCTCTCTCTCTCTCTCTCTCTCTCTCTCTCTCTCTCTCTCTCTCTCTCTCTCTCTCTCTCTCTCTCTCTCTCTCTCTCTCTCTCTCTCTCTCTCTCTCTCTCTCTCTCTCTCTCTCTCTCTCTCTCTCTCTCTCTCTCTCTCTCTCTCTCTCTCTCTCTCTCTCTCTCTCTCTCTCTCTCTCTCTCTCTCTCTCTCTCTCTCTCTCTCTCTCTCTCTCTCTCTCTCTCTCTCTCTCTCTCTCTCTCTCTCTCTCTCTCTCTCTCTCTCTCTCTCTCTCTCTCTCTCTCTCTCTCTCTCTCTCTCTCTCTCTCTCTCTCTCTCTCTCTCTCTCTCTCTCTCTCTCTCTCTCTCTCTCTCTCTCTCTCTCTCTCTCTCTCTCTCTCTCTCTCTCTCTCTCTCTCTCTCTCTCTCTCTCTCTCTCTCTCTCTCTCTCTCTCTCTCTCTCTCTCTCTCTCTCTCTCTCTCTCTCTCTCTCTCTCTCTCTCTCTCTCTCTCTCTCTCTCTCTCTCTCTCTCTCTCTCTCTCTCTCTCTCTCTCTCTCTCTCTCTCTCTCTCTCTCTCTCTCTCTCTCTCTCTCTCTCTCTCTCTCTCTCTCTCTCTCTCTCTCTCTCTCTCTCTCTCTCTCTCTCTCTCTCTCTCTCTCTCTCTCTCTCTCTCTCTCTCTCTCTCTCTCTCTCTCTCTCTCTCTCTCTCTCTCTCTCTCTCTCTCTCTCTCTCTCTCTCTCTCTCTCTCTCTCTCTCTCTCTCTCTCTCTCTCTCTCTCTCTCTCTCTCTCTCTCTCTCTCTCTCTCTCTCTCTCTCTCTCTCTCTCTCTCTCTCTCTCTCTCTCTCTCTCTCTCTCTCTCTCTCTCTCTCTCTCTCTCTCTCTCTCTCTCTCTCTCTCTCTCTCTCTCTCTCTCTCTCTCTCTCTCTCTCTCTCTCTCTCTCTCTCTCTCTCTCTCTCTCTCTCTCTCTCTCTCTCTCTCTCTCTCTCTCTCTCTCTCTCTCTCTCTCTCTCTCTCTCTCTGACTTTTATTCTCGGGATGGAGGGGAGGGAGGGAGGAGGATGGATGAGGAAGGGAGGGAGGGAGGAAGGGAGGGATAGAGGGAGTAGGATAGATGTGGAAGGGAGAGAGAGAGGGGGGAAGGGAGGGAGGGAGGAGGAAAAGTAAGACAGAAAATATAAGAGAGAGAGAGAGAGAGAGAGAGAGAGAGAGAGAGAGAGAGAGAGAGAGAGAGAGAGAGAGAGAGAGAGAGAGAGAGAGAGAGAGAGAGAGAGAGGGAGGGAGGAGGAGAAGCAGAACATTAGAATAAAGACAAAAAATAAGAGAGAGAGAGAGAGAAAGAAAGAAAGAAAGAAAGAGAAAGAGAGAGAGAGGAGAAATAGGGGGGGGAGGGAGACGAACGGACTTAAGAAAGCCTGAGACTTTATGGGATTCGTCTGAAAGGCTGTGAAAGAGTGAATGTATGAATGACAAATGCGAGAATATTAAAATAGTTTTGATAGCAAGAGAAAGGCAGATGAAGGGGACTCAGTGAGGGGGAGAGAAATGTAGCAAAAGTAGAAATAGAGAATATATGCATATATATTTTTTTTCATGTGTATATAAAATGTAGTGTATATCAGAAATCAGAGAAAGGGGTGTAATAAAATGTAGTGAGAGAGAGAGAGAGAGAGAGAGAGAGAGAGAGAGAGAGAGAGAGAGAGAGAGAGAGAGAGAGAGCGAGAGGGAGAGGGAGAGGGAGAGGGAGAGAGAGACAGAGAGAGAGAGAGAGAGAGAGAGAGAGAGAGAGAGAGAGAGAGAGAGAGAGAGAGAGAGAGGGGGGGGGAGAGAGAGAGAGAGAGAGAGAGAGAGAGAGGAGAGAAGAGAGAGAGAGAGAGAGAGAGAGAGAGAGAGAGAGAGAGAGAGAGAGAGGAAGAGGAGTAGGAAGCAGGAGAGGGAAGGAAAGGGAGAAGGAGTGGAATCGGAATAGAATAAAAAATAGGATGAGGAAGAGAGGAAGATTAAGAGGAAGCGGGCGAGGGCAGGAAAGGGAGAGAGGAAGAGGAAGAAGAATGGGTAAAAAAGTAAAAAAGAGAAGAAAGGGGGAGAAAAAGAAAGAAATTAGGTGAAATCGAGGACGAAGCACAGAAAGAGAAAAAAAAGAGAAAGAGAGAACGAGATTGAAAAAAGAGAAAGAAAAAGAGAGAATGATAATGAGAATGAGAAAGAGAAAGAGAGAGAATGAGAATGAAAAAGAGAAAGAGAGAAAGAGAGAATGAAAAAGAGAAAGAGAGAATGAGAGAATGAAAAAGAGAAAGAGAGAAAGATAGAAAGAGACCGAGAGACCGAGCGCAGACCAGCCTCCTTCCTAATCATTCGTAATCAACGAAGACCTCGTCGGCGTCTCGGCTCTAAAACGAACGAGTCACACGGGCAGAGAGTGTCCCGCAGGTGTAGGGATAATCCAGCTCACGAGCCAGAAACATCGTATATTTACCGGGGGAATATCCAACATTGTGAAGCTTGAGTACATAGGTGGAGGCTGAATTATGCAGCTCGTATAAATTTTATTCGTGTGTTGGTGTTTTTTTTTTTCGACTTTTTAAATTTCTCTCTTTTTTTTGGGGGGGTGGGGGGTGGGGGGTGGAGGGGTGGATGGGAGGTTAGGGAAAGGGGAGGGATGGGGGGAGGGGTGGGGGTATTTGACTTGGAGAGATTGAGCTTCATTTAGGTTGAGGTTTGTGCTTGGGAAGCGAGGCTGTTGGGGAGGTTTTAATGGGTGGGAAATTAGTGTGTGTGTGTTTGTGTGTGTGTGTGTGTGTGTATGTGTATGTGTGTGTTTATTTGTATGTCTGTTTGTTTGATGGTGTTCACATGTTATTGCTATTATTGTTATTTCGCATATTTTCTTCATATAAATTTTTAAAACGAACAGTATTTTAACGAATTTACATATACACCCGAACACATGAAATTAAAAAAGTTCCACAAGCAAAACTATCCACAGACAAAACAAAACAAAAAAGAAGAGAATTAAAAAACAAAAACAAAAAAAAACATCCTTCCAAGTCGGAGAGCCCAAGGGAATAAATTCACTAAGTGCAAGTCAATCATTTTGGCGGTCTCTGCGTAATAAATGAATCTAAAATTAGCTCGGAAAGAATGTGAAATGAAATGTATACCGTATCTCTTCTTGTTACCAAGCCCGCTGCATCAGTTATGTGACTTGGTTCTCTCTCTTTCTCTCTCTTTCTCTCTCTTTCCTTTTTTTTTTCTCTGTCTTTCTCTCTCTCTCTCTTTTTCCTTCTTTCTTTCTTTCTTTCTTTCTTTCTTTCTCTCTTTCTCTGTCTTTCTTTCTTCCTTTCTCTCTCTTTCTTTCTTTCTTCCTTTCTCTCTCTCTCTTTCTTTCTTTCTTTCTTTCTTTCTATCTCTCTCTTTCTCTCTCTCTCTCTCTTTTTCCTTGAGGGGGGGAGGGAGCTAGAATGATGCAGACGTCTTGCAGTTTATTTCACTTGTGTTAATTTGCAATTATGAGGACTTTGAAATAGCTCTTTCTACCTCCTCATAAAAAAAGAAAAATGTAAGCAGTAATATTGATTATTAAGAGCTTGTTGATAAATTTTCTTTCGTTTTGCCAGTGTTTCAGTGTGGAATATTATAGTTTTCGTAGAGGATTCATATTACAAGATTTTGCTTATTTATCTGTATCTGTGTTTATTCAGAGATTTGGATGGCATGAATGCTGGTTGAATGTGTGTGGGTGTATGTATGTATGATGTAAATGTGTGTGTGTGTGTGTATATGTATGTGTGTGAGTGTGTGTATGTATGTATGTATGCATATGCTAAAAAAAACAATGCATATATCACGTTTTTATTCATTTGTTTTCTTTCCTTTCCAGATCGACCCGAAAGTTGCCTTTCCCCGTCGCGCCCATCCAAAGGTAAGATTATTTATTATACTTTTATTTTGTCCCTTTTCTCGGGAGTGTTAAAAGTAATTCACAAATTGAACAATATCGGTGAAATATTCCTTTATCGGAGTGCTTTCCGATAAAAGTGATTCCAGCGCTATCGGAGAAGGGATTCCAAACCTTACGGCGCGGGGACGTAAGGACCCTAGTCGCTTGCCAAGTGTACATGTACGGGTTTCCCCTCCCTCCCCCTCTCTCCCCCTTATCCTTCCACCTCTCTGTCCTTCCTCACCCCCCTATCCCCCCTCCCTCCCTCCCACCCTAGCGAGCCGTTCGTGTTCGATAATCCGCAATAATCCGTAATAATCCGGGACAAGTATTCGAAGGAATTCCTGTTCCTTTTACGCAATCCTGCTGAAATTACTGGGGCACGATTTTTTTTTTCCTTTTCGTTCTGGTCTTAATGTAGCGAGCGACAGAGGCTGAGAAAAAGGGACTTATTTCGTTTTTTTTTTTTTATTCTTTCTGTCTTTCTCTTTCGTCTACTCCCTTCTTAGAAGAAATGAAGGGACAAAAGGGATTGTGATGAGGAGAGAGGGAGTGAGAGAGAGAGAGAGAGAGAGAGAGAGAGAGAGAGAGAGAGAGAGAGAGAGAGAGAGAGACAGAGACAGAGGGAGATAAAGATAAAGATAGGGGGATAAAAAGAAAGAAAGAGAAAGAAATGGAAAGAGAGAAAGAGAAATAAGAGTGACATAGTAATCGTAAAAGAGAGTGAGAGAGAAAGAAAGAAAAAAAAACAACAACAACCAAGCTGACGTAAACGAAATGAGAGAGAGAAAGACAGACAGGGACAGAGACAGAAATAAAAGAAAGAAAGAAAGAGAAAGAGTGAGCGAAAGAGTTGATTCTTGCAGAGGGCACTCTACCGGCCAGCCAACCAGCCCCGGATCGATGTGAACCGCTGTTATTAATTAGGCTAATATAACCTACGCTATCCCAATTATTTCTCTTAATACCCGTATGTGGGAAGGTCATTGTGCCATCCCGTATCATTATCTCCACGCGAGGACTCATATGCAGCTGAGGTCGTCATTCCCCTTCGGATACTGAGGGCGAGTGAGCCATTCCGACGGGCGAGAGGTGGGAATTTTGCGGTCAAAATACGGCCAGGCGTATGTAGATGGAGAGAGAGGGAGAGGGAGGGTGAGAGAAAGAGAGAGAGAGAGAAAGAGAAAGAGAGAGAGAGCAAGAGAGAGAAAGAGAGAGAGAGAGAGAGCGACAGCGACAGCGACAGCGAGAGAGAGAGAAAGAGAAAGAGAGAGCGAGAGCAAGAGCAAGAGAGAGAGAGAGAGAGAGAGAGAGAGAGAGAGAGAGAGAGAGAGAGAGAGAGAGAGAGAGAGAGAGAGAGGGAGAGAGAGAGTAAGAGCGACAGCGACAGCGAGAGAGAGAGAAATAGAGAGAGAGAGCGAGAGAGAGAGAGCGAGATGGAATTTAGCGTTGCCTCGTGAAATTTATTATTGTTTATTGTGGTCTGTCATCGTCGGCGGAATTCGGAAACCAAGGAAATATGTACCGTATTTCTAAACACGTTGATATTTTTTGCTGTTATTATTATTATTGTTATTATTATTATTATTGTTATTATTATCATTATTGTTATTATTATTATTATTGTTATTATTATTATTATTAGTAGTATTATTTTTATTATTATTATTATTATTATTATTATTATTATTATTATTGTTATTGTTATTATTATTATTATTATTATTATTATTATTACTATTACTATTACTATTATTATTATTATTATAATTATCATCATTATTATCATTGTCTTTATTTTTGTTTTGATGATGATTGTTATTATTATTACTATTATTATTATTAATATTAATATCATTAGTATTGTATTATTTTTTTCACTTAAATTCCCTCCCCCCCTCTCCCCTTCAGCCTCATATCAACCCCCCCCCCCTCCCCCAGGTTATAGCAGACTTGAATAATTGAGAGACACTCTTATAATATACTAAAAAATATCTGGTCAGAAACTTTTTTTTCTTTTTTTTCGGAGATGGGGATGAGGGAAGGAGGGGGAGGGTGTAGGGGTAAAATTAAGGGGGGGGGGTAAAGGGATTTAAGGAGGGGGAAAATTGGGAGAGGACTTATTAAATTATTCCATGGTCCTTGCATGGTGATTCGCATGATAGAGAGAGAGAGAGAGAGAGAGAGAGAGAGAGAGAGAGAGAGAGAGAGAGAGAGAGAGAGAGAGAGAGAGGAGTGAGAGTGAGAGAGAGAGAGAGAGAGAGAGAGAGAGAGAGAGAGAGAGCGAGTGAGAGTGCGAGTGCGAGCGGAGGAGAGAGAGAGAGAGAGAGAGAGGAGAGTGAAGAGAAAGAAAAAAAAGAAAGATAAAAAGTGAAACGGAAAGAGGGAAAAAAAGATAAAGAAAAGATAACGATCTGGAGACGGATAGACAGACAGGCAGACAG